TCTGTTCCGCCCTGTTTGGAGATGTAAAGTGCTCCGTTCGTAAATCATCCAAACAAGGACATAACCTTGATTCCCTGTGCAATACCAATACATTACCTAACATGAGGCATGAAATGGAAGAATGGTTCCATTTGTATAATCCTGCGTTAAAAATCAGCCTATTCTGCATTTACTGCCTCCTGTGAAGTGTCTCCACAGTCATGGGAGAAGGGGGCTGGTTTTGGAGGGCAAACATCGCCGTGTGAGAGGATGCGAATCAGCACCTCTGCTGCTCTGCCCTTTAGAGTCACACTCGAGTGCGTCTTTTGAGGCTTCCCTGAAATGGGTTATTTGCCAATGGCTTGCAAGCTGCTGACAATTTGTATTTTGCAATTTGTCAAAGCCTCTCCATGGCCCTGATCCTGGTTAATTGCTTTGACAGATGACCAAATTCAGGGATTTCCAGCACACGGTGCTCAGCCTGGTGATACAGCTGTTGGATTAACCCACGTCCCATGGCGCCACGCAACCCCGTGGGCTGTGGGACTGAGAGCTGCAGCACTGCAGAGGGTTTTGTCCCTGCACTGCTGTGCCCTTCCTGCAGGATCCGTGAATGTCATTGGCACCTGGAGAGAACGGGCAGCAGCACGCTTTGCCTTGAGGCAGTGTGAGATGCTTTCCCTTCGTGGCATGGCTTGGACCTGGGTTTGCCACACTATTTCACATAGTAATGAGGGAGATGTGAGAACAGAGGAGGTAATGGCAGAGCAGAGAGAATCTTAGAGGAGAGGTTCTTCTGTGCTTGGAGATTGCCAGTTAACAAAGTGCTTCTCTTAGTGCTCTTGGGCTCCTGGCAGTAGGTGAGGCTCCATCCATGGGCAGGGAACCAGTGTTCCCAGGGGGAGAGATGGGCAGAGCCCTGTGGGAGTGACACCTCTGCTGTGGGCATGACAGCATCACTGGGGTGATGTCACTGAGATGCAAAGCATGGGAGAGATCAGGCCTGTGCAGCTCCTCAAGTGAAGCTGTGTCTGAAGTGCCGGCCTCCCTGCTCTTCAAAGCAGAGAGCTGCATTGGAGAGGATTTGGAAAAGGATTTTCATACGGGGAGGACAGATCACACGAAGCAGCGGGTCTGGCAGAAATGCTCTCAGTGCCTTCAGCTCAGGTATCTCCATCACCCTGCAAACAAATCGCCTCTGCCCAGCAAAGCGCTTGGAGCTGAAAGACACAAAATCCCCACGATGAGGCTGTGCTGCAGCAGGTGCTCCATGGGATGCTCTGGGATGCTGGAGGACGCCTGGAGCACCGTGCTCATGGCCAGGGCTGTGCTGTGGTGTTGGCGTGGGCTGTCACGAGCTCAGCTTAAAATGCAGAACGTGCCGGCGGCTTCTCCCCCTCGCTCCGCTGTGCCTCCGACCGAGGGATTTAATCTCACTGGCGGAAATTTATGGCTGATGTCTGAGTTGGCCCTTTCCAAAAGAGCAGGGGGGAAAGGGAGGGAAAACAAATGACTAAATATTTACATGTTTTTATTTCTGCCGGGAAATTAAACCCTGGCTCATGGTCCCTTTTAACTTGCTCTGTCTCCATGCTGCTGGAGCAAGGTGGGGGCTGCTGCTGGGGTGCCACCCCCGTGGTCCCTGTGCATGCAATCACTGTAATTACCTGGGCAGTTGCATTGAAATCAGCCAGCAACTCTTGTAGCTGTCAGTGGGGGTGTGTAAATATTTGTAGGAGTTTTTCTTGCTGGATGAAAATAAGGCCTTCGTACAGCCATTAACCCACGGGAGGAGTTGGTCGTACGTGGGCAGGAAGGTTCCTGGGCAAGGAGGGCAATAAAGGGTTTCCATCACTTCAAATCTTCCTGCTGCTCTGCTCTTTTCCTGACTGAATTTCCAAGTTCTGTTGGGCTTCCCTCACCCCACAAGAAAGAGCCTTAATTCCCCATGCTTTCCCCTCCATCCTTTGCAGTGGGAAAAATAGCAGGGGGTGGGCAGGGGCTCGTGGATAACCAAAATCCCAATTTTGCCCCCTGGGTCCCTGTGGAGCCGCAGCTGTGGCTGCACTGAGCTCTGACTGCTGTGGCACTGAGGGCACTGCTGTTCCTTGGCCTCTGCTTGCTGCCTGGCAGCGCAGCTCAAGTGGTTGGAGGAGGATTTTGTGCCATTTGATGCATCAGCAAAGATCGTTCATCCTCTGAGTCGCGCCGGCAGCCCGCAGAGCAGCGACTTGCAGCTCCTGGGGTGAGCAGGGATGTGCAGCCGGCTGTGAGAGGAGCACAGGGGCACAGAGCTCCTGAGTTTCAGCATGCCCATGGCACAGGGCTTTCATGGAGTAGCTCGTGTTGGAGTGGTGCCATTATGGATCTCTGGGGCAGACGTGGCCCTGCTGCCCGGGCTGCCCTGTGTTTTGTCACCTCTGGCACCTGCAGGATGTGGGGTTTGGAGCTTGGGGTGGCGAGCCGCAGTCCCCCCTTCTGCTATGGGGTCAGGGAAAGGGGCTGCTCCCAACAGAGCCCCGGGACCCCGCAGCCTCCAGCGCTGCCGCATCCCCAGCGCCGCTCTGCACGCATCGCCTGCGTTGCCTTGGCGACGGCAACTCCCACACGCTGCTATTTATTCTGAAGGACACTTTCTCTTCTGTTGTTGCAAAGCCCTCCAAAGATCGCGTGGCATGGCACACCAAATCCCAGAGAGGCAACCGTGCTCTCAGCTCCTGCCCAGCGGTCTCCTCCTGGGGCCCTGCCAGCCCATGGGGTGCCCAGGAGGATGCTCGGGGGGTGACAGCACCTCGGGGCATTGCTCAAAGCCAGACCGAGCCCTGGGCAGCGAGGGTGGGAGGAGGAATGTCCCTGTCTGTGCTTGGGTATGGTGTTTCTGCTGTGACCCACACGATGCCCAGGGTTGCACGCTGTGTCTGCTCCCAGCTGCAGGGCAGCACTGAAATGGTGCTTGGGTTGGAGCTGAGCCCTGTGAGCTGCTGCTGCAACTTGGGAATGTTGTCAGCAAGCAGGAGAAAATGGGAAGAGAAATCTGCCTTTGTCCATGAGCCACCAACCCCGAGTACTGGGGAGTGATATTTTGTCTTTGAGAAGCTCAGAGACAACAGCAGGGCCGTAGCGACAGCTGAGTTTGGGCTGGTTGCGTTTTCCTTCTCCTCCTTTGGCAGTTATTAATAAAAGTGCCTCATTTGCACTGCTTCCTTCCTCGTGGAGGAGCGGGCAGGCAGCGAGGCGTGCTGCTGTGTGTGTGCACGACCAAGCGCTGTGCTGGGGCTGCCTGCACCTCCCCTTCCTCACAAGGAGAAATTTCAGCTCGGATTGAGAGTTGGGCAGAGGCTAAAATGGAGCGTGACGCCCACTGGAGTGACGGCGTGGCTGTGAGTATTGCTAAGGTGAACCTGTTCTGAATGCTCTTTGGGTACCCGGACGCCTGACTTCTCACTTCTCTGAGCCGCTGACGTGCAGCACATGGGGATGATCTCTGTTCCAAAATCTGGTTGCTTCCACACTGTGGGTCAGTGTGCAGCTCAGCTCTCGACACCTCGCACTGTGAAGCCGGCACAGGAGGGCAGATACCCCTGGTTCCCTTTCCAAACCTGTGGCACCCATTCCTGGGGACAAGGTGCCACCAACACAGAGGGCACCTTTGGTGCTGCGCTCTGAGAAATGCACCAACGATGCATTTGTTCCTGTGTTGTATTTTTATTTTTATTTTTTCGCATCTTGAAATTCTTCCTCCCCCAGCCTGAACTATTTTGGTTTATGTCGTCTGTTTCTGGCTCTTCCCTTTCTCCTTCTGCACTCTTTCCGTGCATCGCCTTTTTCCTCCCCAAAATAAATGCTGTTATGCTTTGGGAAAAAAAAAAAAAGCCAATTAGGGAGAGAGGAAAAAAAAAAAAGATGCTTTGAACAGAAAAAGACTGCGCCTCAGAGTATCCAGGTCATCTCCATTGGCTTCATTTGCTCACGCACGGAGGGAGTATACAAATTCTTCTGTCAACCAGATGCACATTTTGTGGTGCTACCAATGGCTTTACGGGGTGCAGCGCTGCGGAGGATTAGTCTGTTTAGGCGTATAAAGCTCTCATTAACTCCTGCTGAGTCCAACAAAAGTCTTTCTTGTGTAAATGCTGAATAAAATGAAGTAAAGATTTTCGGGCCTTGGCCTAATGATTTTTTTTTTCTTTCTGGGAAAAAAAAAAGCAGGAAAAAAACCCAACCCTGCGTACTTCAGGTGTTTTCTCACAGTGAAACACTGCGCTTCACATGAGCTGACATCACAGGGGGAGACATGAGTTAGAGCAGAGCTTTACAAGGCGAGATGCAACCGGAGAAGAAAGAGAGATTTGACATGAAATAGCGGTGGCACTTTACATCAAAGCAAAATTTGAAATAATTAACCTGCCGACAGTTCAGCGTGGTTTCCATTTGATCTGCAGCGAGGGCGCAGCTCAACGGCTGCTCATCATTCCGTGCTCGGGGCTTTGCTCCTCGCACACAGCAGCACACGGTGGGGCTCGGTGCTGCGTGCCCAGCCTGCGCCCGGCGAGAGCGAGGGCTGCTTTCGAGTCACGGCGACCTGATTAATGACAAGTGGGTTACGCATGGCGAAGCGAGCGTGCTGTGCTCCCGTGTGCTCGCTCACTGAGCGCTTGGTGAGGGAGCCCTGAAATGAGGGAGGGCTGCATCCCCTGGGTCAGCTCTGCTGGCTGCTCCTGGTGCAGATGGAGGGATGGAAGGATGCCCATAGATGTTCTTCTTGCATGCAGCCTTGGCTTTGATGTCGCTTTGGTGTCTGTGCCGTCGCCGCGTGGGCAGCAGGAAGGGGAGCAGGTGGCCGGAGCGTCCTGTGATGCCATTTGGGGAGGTGGCAGCATCCCATCCCAGTGCTGAGAGGGTTGGGAGTGTCAGGGTCAGACGTAGCTGGGCTGATGAGTGCTGCTCCGCAGCTTGTGGAAGGGGTTGGTCGTGCTGCCCGCGCTCTCCTGCTTTCTAACATGCTCTGTGTCTGCCCGCAGGTCAGGTTGCCCGCTAGGAAGCCATGCTTGGATGTTGATAGCCATGTTCCACCTCGCCATGGACCTTGCCAGCTGCGAGCCCGCCGGAACGCGTCTCTCTCCACGGTCGGCACAGCGGCACAGACTGCCCCGTGGTGTGCTGTGGAGCACAGGGGGCAGCGAGGAGCCCCGCCGCCCCAGCCCCCCCTGGCCCTGTGCCCCCCGTGCCCGCCGCCCACCCCCCGTCCCCCTGCCCCGCGCCCGGCGACAGCTGCGAGGCCGCGGCTTTGCTCCACGTGATGGGCGGCCCACAGCTCTGCCCGAGGTCATCGTCTGGGGCCCCACGGGTGAGGAGGACTCCCTGGAGAGCAGCACGCTGCCCAGCATCTTCACCACCGGCGCCACCACCACCGTCACCACCACCGCCGCCGCCACCACCGCCGCCACTACCGTTGCCACCGTGCCAACCCCCAGCAGCCCAGCTCCCACGCCGGGCATCGAGGAGCCCCGTGGCCGTGCCAGCACCTCTGAGCCAGCTGCCGGCCACAGCAGTGGTGGAAAGGACGCGCGTCCACCCCGTGGCCTGGGGGACACAGCAGGTACCAGGCAGGCACCGAGCGCTGCGCTCACCCACCCGCAGGACGGAACACGGGGTCCTGTGCCGTGGTTTTGGGGATGCTCGAGTTTGGTCTGGTGGTTGGGGTGGTTTGTCTGGTGGTTGGGGTGGTTTGTCTGGTGGTTGGGGTGGTTTGTTCGTCATCTGAGGTGGTTTATCCTTAAGTTGTGGTGGTTTGTCCTTTGGTTGGAGCAGTTGGTCCATCGGTTGGAGTGATTTGTCCATTGGTTGGGGTCGTTTATCTTCTAGTTGGTGCTGTTTGGCAGTTAGAGTGGTTTGTTCATCGGCTGGGGTGGTTTGTCCATGGGTTGGTGCCGTTGGTCCATGAGTTGGATTGGCTTGTCCATCAGTTGTGGTGCTTTATCCATTGGTTGGAGTGCTTTGTCTTGCAGTTGTCGTGGTTCGTCTTGTGGTTGTTGTGGTTGGGGTGTTTTTTTCCTGCAGTCCCAGCTCCTCTGTATGCCAGGGCCTTTGGGCACATCACCACGCAGATGCTCTGCTCAGCTCTGGCTCCATCCTGAAACGGCCCAGGGTAGTGGTAGAGATGCCAGGGGTTGATGTGCTGAAGAGCACAGCCGAGTGCAGCCCATGGTGGAGGCTCACTGGGGTGGGTGGCAAATCAGCATCCAGAGGATGCTGTCACAGGGTGCTGTGGCATGGGCTCCCACTGCCCAGCTTTGAGATAAGGGCGTGATTCTAAATGAGTGCTTGGGAAAAAAATGGAAGCTCTGAATCATCACTTTCATCTGAGACATTTTCTAGCAGCTTGCTGTATTCTTCCTATTATCAGTATACATCCACAAACCATCTTCCGTAATCAAATTTAGTGCAGCACTCAGTTACTGTAATACTTTCCACCAGCACGATTTGCTGCATGGACATGGATGAGAAAGCAGGTTCCCATTTATTTCAAATTATATTTGTTATTACCAATATTAAACTGTGGGATACTGTTGTACAGTTTACAGAGCATATTCATTGTGCATTGACTGCTTTTAGCCCACAGTGATTTTCTAGTGAAAACGAAAAGGAATTTTATGATCTAATCTTAATCCCAATGAATTTATCTAGCAAGGAGTGACACTGAGGTTGGTTTTTCCCTAACTTAAATAAATCATTTATAGCGGTGAAAAGCTCCCAACCTACACAACCTTGGGAAAAACACATTAGAATCAGCTGGCTTAATTAGCATCAGTAATGATTCCTGAGTTTTTGGAGGTTTTGGCAGAGGCTTTGGGAGCGGGGTGTGATGTGTTTCGTCCCCTATCAGATGTGCTGCTTTGTGGACATCGCTGTGCTGATGCTGGGATGCTGAGGAGCACAGCAGCCCCCAGCCCTGGCCCTGGGGAGGGAGGGAGGGAGCTCCTGTGGGATCAGAGCTTTCATTAATGATCTCCTTTCTGCCGCGTGGTGGATACTGAAGGCTAAAGGCTTTGTCCGCTGGTTGGAGCGGGTGCTAAAGGCTAAAGGCTGCCTTGATCTCAGCCTGTCCAGCCTAGATTGAAAAGTGCCTGAGCTCCATGTTTGCTTTTGCTGCCATCATCCGTGTCGAGCAGCCAGGAGACCTCCAGCCCACGCTGCTATCAGCTAACACTGCTGTGGAATGATGGATCCCACTGCTGCCTGCTTCCCCTTGGGCAGGGAATGGCAGAAGGGAGCTGCAGGGCATCGGGAGCGTTGGGGTCACCTTCAACCCCACGTCAAGTGACCAGCTGTGCCTTGACGCCCATTTCTCCTTCCACTGCTCAGTTACATAAGCAGCAGTGGCTGGAAGTGTTTGTTCTCTGCCTGGGAAAACATATGGTTACAAATGAGGATTAGGTAACTTGTTTGTGCTCCCGCTTTGCCTCGGCCAGCATCACAGATAGGCCAACATCACAGGAGCTCCCTGCGGATGGGTGACGTTGGAGTGGCCCCAAGGAGGGGATGTGAGCACCCATCCCGGGTTGTGATGGCACTGTGGGTGCCGTCCCTTTGGCTCCCGGTGCAGCCAACGTAGCATCAATTGGTTGGACAAGCAGTGAGCGCAGTCTCACTCAGGTCTTCCTCCTCTCACCCCACTCCTGCTTGGTGAAGGGGAAAAAAAGGAGACAGGAGCCATTTATCTGTGACTCACCGACAGAAAAACAAGGCTAAAAATTCCCGTGGAACGGCAAATATCCTGCTTAGGAGGAGAAAGACAGACAAGTGATTGCTTCTAGCATCCAAAAGAAAAGAGCAAAATGGGGCGTGCGGCTCTGCTGGTGGTGGGTGTTGGCGTGCAAGGGTTTCTGTTTTGTTTTTTTGCAGCGAGTAAACTGACAATCAGGTGTGTTTATCCCGGTGCCACCTATGTCTGCTCAGCGCCTGGCAAGAGTGCTGATGGCAGTCAGATGGGGCCTCAATATGTTCACCCAGGCGTAGTTTATGCTTATGCTTTTCAAAAATGTGCTTCCTTTTTTCGGGGGCTGTCATATCCATTTTACGACGGAGCATGGAAGGAGAGAAATAATTAAAACTCCGGAGTGCTGGAGAGGTAAAGGTTGTAGGGCTGCTGTGCTCCCGGCACGGCTCAGCCAAAGGGGTGAATCAGGGACTGCTGAAAGCTGGGCACTGAAGCTCTCCTGTCTGTGTGATTAGAAAAAAAAAAAAAAAAAAGCCATCTTTAATTAAACCTTTAAGTGCTTTATAAGGCAGAAGACTTTATGTGCCGTCTGCTGCTCCTAATGGTTATTTGATGGCCGGTATGCAATGGATTTGGCATCATGTGCTGCGAGCAGCGTGCTCAGAACAGGGCTTGTGGGCAGTGCTGGGGACCCCAGTGTGGCTGTGGGGCTGTGGGTGCTGCCCTGTGCTGTGCTGCCCGGAGTGTGGTGTGGGCAAAATCTGCCCTGCTGGGGGTGAAGCAGGAGGGATGGCAGAGGGGCTGCTGGATGCGCCGAGATAGCATCTGCTAAAGGCTTCAAAGGAATTAATTAAAGATAAAATGCCTTTAAAACTCTGGGCAGCTGGAATGGAGCTGCAGCTTTGATGCGCTGTGCAGGGTGGGAGCTCGGCCCTTCGGGGCAGCTGTGGAGGGGCTGAGTGCCCACCCATGGGTCACAGTGTGGATCCTGCTGTGCTGCTGGCCACGCTGCTGCCCAGGGAGGTGATGCAGTGTGCTGAGCTTTGCCCTGCATGCAGTGCGTGGTGCTCAGGGCTGGCACAGAGGGCGCTCCTCTTCTCCCATCCCGTCTCAGCCGCAGGTGGGAAACCCATCGATCCTGTGGGATTATTGAGCTTTCAGTTCAAATCTCTCCTCAAAACCTAAAATAGCTTCTGCCAAGCTGGAAGCGAGGCCGCGTTTCATCTTAATTTGTCAGACAGCCCTCTCTGCATGACAGGAGGACTTGTTGGGCACTCAGTAGGGCTGGGCAGTGCCATGGGCAGAGCAGCAAGATCCATCGCATCCTGTCATTGCTGGGGAAGCGTGGCATGTGTGTCCCAGCTGACAGCACACCCAGCCTCCCACACATGGCCAGCACAGGGTCTGCATTCCCTTTTGTCACAGGGGAGGTGCAAGGGCTGCTGCTGTCCTGGGAGGTTCCCAAAGGAGGCTGTATGGCTTCCCTGAAGGATGGAGGAGCTGGGAGGAGGAGGAGGCTGCCTCTCGAAGCAAGAAGTGAGCGTGGTGCGAGCTGAGCTCTCTCTGCCTGTTGTTTTCGCCAGGATCAGCAGATGCTGTGTGCACGCCCGCCCTCGCCCACGTGTGTCTAAATGAGCCAGGAACGCTCCTCTTCTGCTCTCAGGAATATTTATTGCTTGGTGCTATTTGCTGTAACACCTGAGCAGATAAGTCCTGGTGTCTTTAGCGTAAGCCTCCAGGATCTTCTTTCTTGGCAAGGAGATTTCCAAGCAGCAGCAGCACTGGGATATTCTTCCCCTTTCAGCAGCCCAACCCCAAATATCAGGCGGTTTCCAGGAACCTTGGCTTTTTGTTGCTGAAGAGCTGCATGCTAACTTCAGATTATTGGTGCTCCCCAGGTGGGGTTTCAGAGCTGATCTCAGGGATTTCACAGCACAGCATCACACAGGGGCCATGGATGGAGCACTGCACTCCCCTGGGCAGTGGGGACCCCCAGAGCCCCCACCCCATGTGAGGATAAAAGCACAGAGGCTCTGCTGTAGGTGTCAGCAGGGCAGACCCAGGGACATTTCCCAGTGCATCAGGTCAACCCTTGTGTTTCTTGTAGATTAGTTTTCATAAAAGCCGTTCAGCAGCACTGTGGTTAGCATTAGGACAAAATCCTGCTGATCCCCCCTGGGAAGAGGCTGTTTGTAACTGTGATTGCTGCAGAACGCCCATGCTGTGCTCCCCATTGAATGTTTCTGTCCAGCAGCAGGTTTATGGGCTGCACGAGGCTTCCAGCATCAGATCCCTCCTGCCTTGGCACCAGCTCCAGCTTGCAGCTGAGTTTTGCCCACTGGGGCTCAGGCAAGGAACCATCCCAGTGCCATTGGTGGCTTCTGAGCAGTGAGCACTCCTTTACTCCTGCAGGTGTTGGAGGCAGCAGGCTCAAGGTTGCAGAACACAGCGTGAGCACTGCCTGATGTGAGCTGAATGCCAGCAGTGCTGTGCTGGGCTGGTGACACTGGCTTCTGGCTCCTGCACGGGCTTGGATGCTTTTGTGGTAGCTGTGGAAATGACCTAGAAGGTTATTTTGGCTGGGAAATAATTCCCACAGGCACCAACTCCATCTGTGTTTTCATCCTTTCCCTCTGTAAGCTCTTCACCTCTTGAGCCCATTCCTTTCATTGCTGACAGTGTTGGGGATGTGCCCTGCTGCCCGGAAGCGGCGCTCTTATTGATAAGCAAGAGGCTGCAGGGCCAACCATGCATGTCTAATTGCAATCAGGCATTCCTCCCAGCTCACCCCAGGACCCAACGGCCCCACTGTGCCAGCAGGCTCCTCAGCCAGCCTGCCCCCATCCAAGCACTCAAGCAGGAATCACCCATGAAAAAGAGCCAGGTGGCAGAGCTCCCATAGGCAACCGCCTGCAGGAAGGTGCTGGGGTGCAGAATTGCAGCCCTCCTGGCTGGGACGTTGCAGGTATTTGGAGCAGATGTTGTTTTTCTGCCTCAAACGGTAACTCAAGATTGTACTCTGCAAAACAAAATGAAGCTGTTTCTTCTTTCTTAATTTCATGCAGCTTAGAGGCCCTGATGAGGGTCTTCAAAGAGCTGAGGCTCGTGGCTGTTTTTATTGGGAAAATGAAAAATATGGTCTCCCTAACCAGTGCTGTTGAAAGAAAGGCCTTGGGGGATAGAGGTTCTCTTTGTTTTTAATTAAGAGCTTATATCTCCTGCTTGCTGCCACTGCGCACTTCTGCGGGAGCGAGACACGAGTCTCGAATGGATTTTCTCATGGAATTAATTCTGTCGATGCAGAGCTGTCCAGGAGCTGTTGCAAAAGGTGGACAGAAAGGCCAAAATTCGGTGCTTTCATCTTGGTGGCAAATAGATGGTATTTAACATACAAAATAAAAGCCTTAGCATTTGCTTGCTTTGAGAAGATTGGATTTTTTCCTCTCTCTCGGCTGGGGGAATTTGGAATCACGTTTTACGGTCGGCTGCAGCTCTCCTGCCTGAACAGACAAGTCCATCCTTGCTGCCCACGTGGGTGCTAATGGTGGGTGTCCATAAGCTGGTGGGCCTCGTTCTGCCTAGCAAGGAGCATAACGTCAGCAGCCCAGAGCACTCCATGCACAGATGCTGACCGATGCCCACAGGGCGGCTGTGGCTGTGAGCTGCAACTACAGGACAACGCTGGGATATGGCAGTGCCAACCCGGTGCTGCACAATGAGCGGTTCCAGGTGGGAGAGGTGCTCAGCAGGATGGAAAAACCCAGCAATATTTCAGCGTTTCCAAGGGTTCAAAGAGTGCCTTTGAAGAGCTTTCCCTCCTGGCATGCGACACATTAAATTCTGCTGCACTAGCAGAAGCGCGGGGGTTTGGACACACTTTCAATTCCATTAAATACTTCTCCTGTAATTACCCTCGAGTTAAATGGTCACTGCGTCAAATTTACTAGTAAAAGCCTTGTAACAGTGGAGTGCTTGCAGTCCCCTTGCCGGGAGCAGGTATCAGCACTGTGTGCAGCTGCAGCTGCCCGCTCAGCGCTCGCCGGGCTCTTCCTGGTGATCAGTGTGCAATTAAGCAACCACCTGCATCTGTAATGAGCTGGGGGCAGGCCTCTGCCATGCAAAATCAGGGGACTTTGGGGCTGACCCGGCTGCAGTGCTGAGCACCTCCAGGATTACTTGAGACAGAGGAATAGAAAACGTGAAAGAAGTGAGCAAGGGCCTGGCTGCCTGCTTGGGACCATGGTTAAGGTTGGAGATGACTTCTGAGATCATCAGCCATCGACCCATGCCCACCGTGCTCACTCACACAATCGTAGCCTCATTAAGGTTGGAGAAGACCTCTAGGATCCTCAGGTCCAACCGTCACCCCATGCCCACCAAAAGCTGTTGCTCACATCGGCTGGAGGAGGAGCGTGCGTTCCCTCGGCACCTCTCACAGCCAGCAGCATGCTGCTAATTTCTCTATATGAGCTATTGATCGGATCCTCCAGGTCCCTTTCCTCCAGACAGATTGGTTTCCTATGCCTGTATTTAAAATACCGCTCTGCTCCTGGTGGCCCTTCTCTCTATCATCTCGCTGCTGTCCCCCTGGTGTCCCTTATGGGATGTTCCCGTGTCCCAGCACGTCCCATCCATTAACACCTCATCTTGCAGATTGGATATTCTTCATCGATTTTGCTTCGTGCCGTTCTGTGTATTTCTTTGAAGGCTGGGAAGAAAGGAATTTATGTGTTTACAAAGTAAGAACAAAGACAGATTACTCCTTATCCTGGCAGGTATTGCTGTAGGGCTTCCCAAGAAGTCACCGCAGCCAGCTGTGGGCCCCATCTACAGCACTGCTTTTGGGGAAAATGCTCCCCATCCCCTTGAAATCTTCCTAGACCTCAGTGCAGAATTCATGTGCAACACAAAGGAACTATGCTAGTGCATATGGCAGCTGATGTATGTGCCACAGTCTGCAATTATCCAGCTCTTCTTGAAGCCCGTGCGTCCTCCTTGGAAGAGCTGCCGTCCTTCCCCAGCTCTGCTCTGCTGTGCTCAGGGTGCTACAAGCACGAGCTCTAATCACAGCATTGGGCTCTCCCTCACCCCCCGGCTCCCACCATCACTGAGGTCTGTGTTCCAAAGCTGCTCCTGTTTTCAAAGGCGTTGGGCACTGGGTTGCACGGACTTTATTTTTAGAGCTTTTCCTTTTATCTTTCCCGGCGGTGTCCCACTGGGAGCTGCTCCAAGAGCACTGTGAGCACTGTGACTGCGCTGTGCTGGGCTGTGCTGGGCTCTTGCTGCTCCTGACCCCAGCGCAGTGTGGGGTGGCACCGTGTGAGGATGGCACGGTGCACGATGTGGGGCTGCTCCCGCACCCTGGGAACACCTTGGCTGTGCGTTGAGCTCCGGTGGCCGTTTCTGCACCCTTCGCTTTGCTTTGACAGCTGCCGTTGCCAAGTGCTCTCCAGAGGAACCTTGTCACAGTTTGTTTGAGCCAATTGAAGTGTAATTGGGAGTAAATGAAGGAAATGGGTCATTTGTGAAATAGGTGCTTGAGTCAAGGGAGGAAAATAACCCTGACTCATCCCTCCGGGGATCCGTCCCCACTGGGATGTGGTGAATGGCCTCCCCAGGAGGAGCGCGGTGCTGTGTGTGGCCCTGGGACATGGGGTGGGTACAGGGGATGTGTTTGTGCCCCTTCAATGTGCTGCTTCCCCCCTGTTTGGTGAGCAGCTGCTGGGGTGGATCAGCAGCGCATCCTGCTCCGTGCTCAGGCTCTTCTGCGCTCCCCTACATCGCGTCCTCTGGCAAAGCACAGGGAGCAGTGCAAGTGAATCTCCATCCAAAAGCACCCTGCCTTCAGTTTTTATTGTTTTGCACTTTTGCTGTTCTTTATACCAGCATCTCTCAGCTTGTGGCTGAAACCCTCACATCTGTTGTTTCGGAGGCACTGAGGAGAGCTGAGCTCCAAGAGGTGCAAAAGGCAGCCCCAGGCCATGCAACCCTGGGCTGGCAATCTGCTCCATACTGATGCCCCATTCAGGTGCAAGGGCAGTGTTGTCCATCACTGCATTGGGTTGCACGCTGGCAGCAGGACTGGATTGGGTCCATGCTGCAGCACTGGCAGTGAGGGCAGTAAGAACAAGGCAGTGGTGGCTCTCCAGCAGTGATAACAGGCACAATGCTGGCTGCGCCCCTGCGGATGGATGTGGCTCTTTCTCACTCCTGCTCGGGTCAGCAGCACTTCTGGGCAGTCAGCATCTCTTCAGCAGTGTGTGGGCTGAACGGGCTCTGAGCATCTGTGTGCTTTAGGGAGGTGGCTCTGCCCCAGGAGTGGGGCTGGATCCGATCAACTTCTGCATGGATGGGGTTTGTCAGCAGTGGGGATGTGTGCAAGGACCCTAAACCCCTGTGTGAGACTGAGCAGGGGGAAAACCAACCTCAGGAGAGCCAAAGCTTCCATCTCCCATCCTTTGAGAAAGCAGCAGAGCAGCACACAGCCGTGCGTGCAGCTGCCGGCTGCGGTTGCAGCGCTGCTGTGGCTCTGAAGCACCGCAGCACCAGCTGTGCCTGCATGCAGCTGCCTGGGACCCCTCCTGCGTGGGCAGCAGCAGTTCCCTCACCGCACACATTCACACCGAGCAGCAGCACTGTGTATGTATCACATAGATACCCAAAGCTGCTTGCTTTCCCGTCGCGCTGGCATTTATTTATTTATTAAAAGCGTCACCCATCAGGAGCGTGCAACATCTGTTTGTGAGAAACTGCACATCCTTGGGCCACAGCCAGGAAAATCATTTCATTACGAGATTGCCACTGTACAGCGGCGCGGAATCACAAACATACTGTACATTGAGATGCTTTTGTTTCCAAACTGCTCATTAGGAATGATACACGAGCCAAAATTATACCCTGTGTAAGGTGAATTAGGAGAAAATGAGCCCAACCGACCTTCTTAAGTGAGCAGCAGTTAGTACTGTAATTATTATCTCTGGTTAATCCTGCACCCACTGCAAGGCTGTGCTCAAGTTTCCTGTTCCATCCCAGAGGGTATGCATCTTCACATGGCTTCCGTTCTTCGTGCCTAATTCAGGCTGACAAGGAACATACTCGAGAGGGGAGGAAACAAGAGGCCCAGCTTAAAGATTTTTTTATGTAATGCAGGAGAGAGGACTGTGCTGCTGCTGCTGCCTGGGGCTGCTCCCAGCCCTGTGCTGTGGGAGAAGGGCAGAGGGATGCGATGTGCTGTCCTGGGGGAATGCCTTGGGGGTGTTCATGTACCAAGAACTCTTCCTTTTCCCTTTTTCCTTTTCCTTTTTTTCCCCCTTTCCACTTTCCCATTCCCTTTTCCTTCCTTCTGCCCTCTTCCCTCTTTCCTTTCCCCTCCCCTTCCATTCCTTTCCATCCCTTTCCCCTTTCCCTGCCCCTTGTCTCACTTTTTTCCCTTCCCTTTCCTATCTCTGCAGGTGCTGTGCTGTCCCCCTGGTTTCCTATCTCTGTTCTGATTCCTTCTCTTCCAGGTCTGGCAGTCCATCAGATCATCACTATTACCGTGTCCCTCATCATGGTCATAGCTGCTCTGATAACAACTCTTGTCTTAAAAAACTGGTAAGGGGCCTCACGGTGGGGCTGGGCTGGGACAGGCTTCCCGTGGAGAGGGATTCCACACCCAAACTACAGCAAGCATTGGCTGGCTCAGTTTGGTGCCTTAGGGAGGATGCTTGAGCATCATGGCTGGGTGAGCGGCCTTTGCAAGACCCTGCAGTGACGTCATCCAGTGACGTCATCCAGTGATGTCATCCAGCAGGCTGCCTGCATTCTGTGGCCCTGCAGGTTGCACTGCTTCTCTCCCACCTTCCCAAGGCTCCAGGGTTGGATCCTTTCTTCTGAGCCTCTCGGGTGCCACCAGTTCTAAGTGTGCCCCATCACCTGAAGCGCTCCTGTGCACCTCGAGCTTCATTTGCTCTCATTTATTCCCTTAACACAGGCTGTGCGCCTGGTAAAATAGGTTAGCTTCTTGCTTCAGGCACTCGTGACTTTACCTATTTTCCCAGAGAGACTGCCCTACTTTGAGGTCAGCGGTGCCAGCTGCCGCGATGCCGCTGTGCTCCGGGACTCAGAGGTCCCCAGCAGCAAAGCAGCGCCTTGGTGGCATTGCTGAGCTCCCAACGTGTCCCAGAGCTGCGTGCAGGTCGGGCTTCCCCACGCAGGAGGCAGAGATACAGCCGTGCAGTTACTCAGCTGGTGCCTCCCCGATAGAAAGGTTTCAAATAAATAAATAAGAAAGAGCACTGGACTGGGAGCCGTTCTATCCAAAGTGCCAGAATTGTGACGTGATATCAAACGATGTTTGTAATTAATGGCTGATAATGCAGTGTCCCCCCCCCCCCCCCCCCCCCCCCCGTGCTCCTCTCCCCACGCAGCTGTGCGCAAAGCGGGGCCGCGCGGCGCAACGGCCACCAACGCAAAATCACACAGCAGGAGGAGAGCTGCCAGAACCTGACCGACTTCACCCCCGCCCGCGTGCCCAGCAGCCTGGACATCTTCACAGCCTACAACGAAACGCTGCAGTGCTCCCATGAGTGTGTCAGGACGCCGGTGCCAGTGTACACGGAGGAGGCATTGCACTCGCCTGGAGATTACAAAGCAACCTTCAATGGAAACAGGTGGGGTGATGCAGAGCTGTGTTCCCGTGCGCCCTGGTCCTGCTTGTCTCCATCCCGTTCCTGGTTTGCAGTAAAGCATGGCTGTGCCACACCGTGCCCTTGCAGAGTCAGTGTCCCTTCCCTTGAGCAGCTCTTGAACATCGTGGATGGGTTTGGCACCGCATTTCTCAGTTCCCTGCCTCCACCCCCAGCCAGGAAATGTTTCTCAGATCCATCTTCCAGAATTTCTGCCGTCTCCTAAGTGCCATCTAAAGAGCTGCTGGCTTGTGAATGGGCGATGTGATTAATGAAGGAGCAGGCTGCAAGAAGCAAATGAGCCATTTGTCTGGCACGAAATAAAGATATGTTAACGAGGGGCATAATGGGAGCTGACAGAGCTGTGTGAGCCCATCTCCAGGTGCCCCCCACCCGCACAGGGAGGAATGCAGGAGGACGGGGTGACCCCACAACATTTGCCTGTTGCATTTTTTGGTGCTTCCTCCCGTCTTGGAAGGCACAGAATTGGGATTTTCAAACCATTTTGTTGTGTGTGTGTCAGTGTGGCCATGAACCCTGATGGGCTGATATGGGGTGGGCAAGTGCTGCTCCCCTGCCTCATCCACTTGCTGGAAGCTCGCTGCTCTCAGCCTTGAGGCAATGCTGTCTGGGCAGCCCCACACAGGCAGCGCACAGCCCCACGTCCCACACATAGCAGTGGTTCCACTGGGAGGGGATGCTGGGGATGTCCCCATAGGGTTGCTATGGGTTGGCTGAGTGTCCCCATGCCAACCCCCCAGCCGTGCTTCTTACCCTGCTTTGCACCACCCCGGTTTCCCAGGCCAATGAGTGCCATCAAAGCATTGCTGTAGAGGTTTTGCTCTCCCTCTGATGAAGCTGATGTGCACAGCACCTCCACAGCTCGCTCGTGTTGCACACCAGCACATGCAAGCCCATTTTTCTGCTCGCTGCAGACCCTCTTCTTCTGATCGGCATCTTATTCCTGTGGCCTTTGTGTCTGAGAAATGGTTTGAAATCTCCTGCTGACTGGCCGAAGCCTGTTTTACTTCCTGGGCAGGGCAGACGCCGTCTGGCTGTTTCCTGGTAGGTACAGCTGCCCACATCCCAGCATGGTGGGGTCCCGGGGGGAGGTGGCTGTGTGCTGGGGCTGGGGTGGGCTCCATTGGCTTTCTGTTCTGCTGTTGCATTGTTTGGGGATTGTTTTGAATGTTTGTTAGCCGGCTTGGGTTGCTTTCACCTACTTGTTCCCACGAAGGTGGCAAGAAAGCAATTAGGCTTCACTGTGTTCTGCATCACAGCAGGGCGGCCGTGCCAGCTCCAGCCCCACGCTCAGGTACATGAACCCGTCGGTCCCAAGCCCCTGCTGCAATGAATCATACATTCAGTGTAAATGAAACTTCCAGCCTCCCCTGGCTGCAGCTTGCTCGGAACAGCCCGTTAAACATCACGCTCGGAACTGAACACAGCAATATAATGAGATTAGAATGGAAAGGAATAAAAAGTTAATGGTCCCGGGCAGTGCGTGGCTGGGGCAGGGCACAGGGCTGAGCCCAGCCTTCTTGGAGGGCACTGCAACCAGCAGAGCCTGGGAAAGTGGCTCCAGAGAGAGCCTAGAGCGCTTAGCATCCAAGTGAGTTCTTACACAGTGAGCATCTTGAGCTCCTGAGAGAGGGAACCTTCTGGGGCGAAGCCAGAGGGCTCTTAGTCCCCATCTGTTAATGTTCTCTCGTTGTTTCGCCAATTCAGCTGTTGTGGCCACAGAGGCAAAGCGTGAAGGTGCCTAGCCACAAGGACTTGTGTTGGTGAGCAGGGAACAGCACAGAGCAGGTCTGAGAGAGGTTCTGCATTTGAATGCACGTCAGAAAGCCAGCAGCCATGGCATGCTGTACCCTTTGCTTTGTAGGCTGTGAGTGCTGACCCTTGGCTTAAAATGATTTTAGAAGAAGCAAAACAGAAACCAACCCAATCTTACTGGACAGCTATGGTGCCTGGAGGAGAGTGGCTGCTGCCTGCTGCAGGAAACCTGTGCAATTCCCACTGCTGCTCCTCAGCATCCTGTGCAGTTCTGTGCCAAAGGCTGAGTCCCTGCTCATTTCAATGGATTTCTTTAAATAGTCCAAAGCTGCTCCATTACGCTTTATTAAATCCTTGAAATTCTCATTGACCTGTTTTCCTGGAATCCATAAAATTCATATCAATGCACTCTGGAAAAATCTATCCAAATTTTACCCGAAGCGTTAGTCCTGTGATAGCATTTCAATTATTTATGAAGTTCTGTTGGGTTTCATTAATATCACCTAAATGAGATTACTCCAAAACATATCTCCTGCCCACACATGTGTGCCTGCACCAGGGCAGCTCTGTGTGCAGGTGTTTGCCTGTGGGCTGTCCCCTGTGTGATTGCTGTCTGGTAGCTGGGTTTTAGCCCCAGCAGCAGTGGAAGGATGCACTGGTGCTTGTGGGTTAGCTGCAGCTCTCCCTTCCAGCACATTTCTTGTAGTGTGTGTGCAAGGGATGGGCCTGAAACAGCCCATGAACAGAGCACTGTGCAGTGCACAGTGATTGGAAACTGCACAATCCTTGGCACTGGGAGCACCTTCCCTTGGAAAGGCTCAGAGTACTTTGCAAGTATTAATTGGTGGCACTTCACAGCTCCTAGCTCTCTAATAAGCAAATTAGTGCCACCAAATGTGTACATTCAGAGCTTGAGGCGTGAGACATGATGTGACCAGGGACAAGGATGGTGGGAGTGCATAGAGGATGGGGAAACTGTGTGTAGATGAGCACTGTGAGGTTGGGCATGAGATCTGTGGGGACCGTTCAGGTTGTGCTCGGTGTATGGGAGCTGAGCATCGCTGCTGAGTTGGCAGCTCAGTCACTGATGGGTGAGCTGGGCCGCTTGGGTGGAAGGGACAGCACTGTGTAGGTGTAGGGTTGGAATAGTGTAGGTGTAGGGTTGGCACAGTGTAGGTGTAGGGTTGGCATGGTGTAGGTGTAGGGTTGGCACAGTGTAGGTGTAGGGTTGGCACAGTGTAGGTGTAGGGTTGGCATGGTGTAGGTGTAGGGTTGGCACGGTGTAAGGGCAGTGTGGCACAGCCAGCTCCAGTTGCTGCAGGCAGCGCTGAGCTTTTGTAAGACAAACTGGTGGAACTCATCTGCTTACATGGCAAGCAGATGCTGAAGTTGTTTCCTTAGGTCAGGTTCGTCCTCTGCCAACACGAGCTGTTTGTGTGACACTGAAGCCGTCCCCGCTGCAGCACTGGCCCTCTGAAGAGCAGAGAGCTGTGCCCATGGAGAACAGCTGCTGGAGTTTTCCAGCAGATTTCACCCGCCTGCTGCCAAACCCCTCCGGAGCGCTCGCTTGTAGATGAATGTCACACCTCTGCAACAGGCAGCACAGCAGCTATTTCTGCACTTCAGCAGCCCTGATCCATTCTCGCAGGCCGGCACAGCTGCAGCAGTGATGTGGCCTGGGGCTGTTTTCTGTGCACAGTGAAGTGGTCAATTACAGCGTTGGCACCGGGAGCTGAGTGAGGAGTGCTGGGGGTTCATCTGCAGAGCCGCAGCCAGCAGGGCTGCTTTGTTGGGCTTCACACCGGCCGCTGGGCTTCTGAAATCAAGTTTGGTCTTCTGCATTGTTCCTGTCCTTAATCCCACTCTCTTTGACTGAAAAACCGCATGGAATGAGATTATACAAAAATCTGTGAGGTTGATGGAGCACTGACCTACTTTGCACAAAGAGGCGATTTGGATACAATACAAATTGTGCATCCTGCAACGCGTGCACGAAGTGGGATCCATCAGATGCTGCCACCTTCAGCGTCGGCGCAGGAGAAGTGGGCATTTGAGAGTCTGAAATCTCCTCGGCGTGACAGTGCTGATCCGACCCCAGCTTTTTTCACAAGGCAGCCCACATGGCTGGAATTGTACGGTAACGCTGTGCTTTGTGCGCTGCCTTGTCCTCCTTCTGCCTGACAACAGCAAGTGGTTTGTATTAACATTAACAGATAATGAGTCATCGTAAAGATCGGGGCTTGTCTTCTGAGGAATAACAAGCATTCCCAGCACAGCCCCAGAACAAAAGCTTAAGGACTCGCTAGAATCTGCCCAGCTAATTAGTCGGAACGCCGGCATCCTTATTGGAGATGGTGCATGCTAGACGTCGTGCTTAAAAGTGATGTTGCATTGCAGAGTGCTGATCACCAGCTAGCCAGAGATCACAGGGCATAGGACAGCACTTCTGCTGGAACGGGGCTGTCAGTGGAGCTGCCCCATGTGCAGCAATCACAAGGCACGCAGGGCTGCAGTGCAACGCGTATCGACAGCCATAAAACCCCATATGCATAGAGTGGCCCCAGCACTGATGGGGACTAATTGTCTTCTGAAGGTTTAAAGATCACGCAGGGAGCAATCTGTCAGAGGATGGCAAATAAATAGCTTGAGAAGAACTTCAATAGGATCTCTGTTTTTGATGCTTAACCAATTTTCTATTGATTTCTTTAGGGCATTTAACTTTAGAAAATCTTGTTAGTACTCATCATCGCCTTCTCATCTGCCAGAGCACTCGATGCTCTTATCCTAAGTATGAAAAGCTCCAGAATGATCAGAAATAAATTACACTTCAGAAAGCAGGCCGAGAAGTGTGCAGTAAGGCACACCTAAGCTCCTTACTCACTCCTGCTCTTCACCCAAAGCATCACCTCTGCACCAGCACGGGTGGGACGCTGCATCCCAATGCAGCATGTGGCAGGAGTGGGGCTGGGGGCTGGGTTGGACCAGGCAGGGCTGGGACCTGTCCCTGCATGGGGCTTGAGTGGTCAGCGGGGTGGGCACCGCAGGGCAGTGGGGCTGATCCTTACCACGGCTGGTGGGCGACAGCAAATGTGACTGCAGCCTGAGAGAGCTGATGCACGGCTGGGTGCGTTTCCCTGTTGTGAACTTAATCTTTCATTCTCTTTTCGTTTTCCGCAGGATTCCATTGGTGAACCTGTAAAAAAAAAATTAAAAATAATGGGTTACCTGTCCCTACCATTTCTGTTTACCAGTAGGAGACTCAAAGAGCAGCGTTCTATGGGCCAAATATATTTTTATAAAAATGAACACGCCTGTAGGTAACTGCGTTTTTCCAAGAGTGCGTTTTTTGGGTTTTTTTTGGAGAAGAGAAAAGCGTGCGAGCAAAGAATCCCACGAAGGAAGAGGAAACCGAGGAGAGCTGGAAGGAGCAGGACTGAGCAGCTGGACCTTGGGATACGGACTACGATTCTGAACCTGTGCCAATAATACCATTATGTGCCATGTACTGATGCAAAAGACTTCGTGAGAAGCAGAAGCTAAGTCAGTAACACGCAGAAATGCTACCGAGGACAGGGGAGGGGGCGTCTCTTCCGATGGGGTCATTGATTCCGGTCCACATGCATACATACATATGATATATATACAGAGAAAATATATACACACACAGAACACTTTTTTTGTACTGTAGCAATTTTTGAAGATCTTAAATACTCATTTTTAAAGAAAACGTCACGGGCTAAAAGTCTGATTTCTTTAACATGCATAATATGACCTAGTTAAAGCGATGTTTTCTACTTGGGCAGCTTGCCTTTCCAACCTAGATGTGTATATATAGATAGACATATACATATATATATGTGTGTGTGTATGTATAAGCATATATATGTATGTATACATATATAGATAGTTTTACTTTCATTCTGGAGATGCGTTTCCAGCGGTGGGGGCCTGGCGGGGCCGCGCTGGCAGTGGGTGCTCGCGCCGTGCAGCCGCGATGCGATGGGCTTGGAGAGCTTTGAAAGAGGGTCTGGAGCAAGAGCAGATTGGAAAAGGGGTTTTCCAGCTGTTTGCAGCCTGAGCATCGTGGGGATGGCACCGCAGGGGACAAAGTCAGGGTGCAGAGGGGTCTGCTGGCGTCCCATCATGAGATGCTTCCTGCTGTGCTGCTTCAGAGCGCGAAGGGCAGCGGAGTTCAGACCAAAGTCCTCCGGTTCTTTTTGTAACTCACCCCTTCCGAGCGTATGAACGTTTTTTTAGAGTTATCCAGATATGCATTCTGATCATCTGCTCAACCCTCAGTTCCATTTCTTTATTCTCTGTGTGTCGTTCCAAGAAAAGGCAACTCGGCCCTTCTGGCGCTGCGCATCACCCTGCACGCAGCTGCTTCGTTCCATAGCATTCTCTGTCCTTTTCTGATGGGGTTTTGTATCCTGGAGAGTTTTATGGAAGCTGCCCCAAGTAGAAGTCTTCCGTGCCAGAGGTGGATGTGAACTGAACATCCCTGGGGGCACTGGCAGCGTTCCCTGTGGCTCTGGGGCAGCTGAGCAGCCTGCGGAGCTGGACGCAGGGTTATGTTGGGTCTGGAGGGTTTTGTTCCATGGCAGAGCCGGTTCCTTTTGCAGCAGGGTCTCTGCAGGGCTCCCTGCCCCTTTGTGTGTTGCTGATGCAAGCGGTGCAGCCCCTGCCAATGATCCTCGCTATCGCATCGCTTCGGTTTTCCTTCTTTGTCTCACTTCTCTGGCCCCGATCCGCTCCAGCTCTGCCATCGTGTTGTGCTTTACCCATCGATCTTTCTATTTATTTGTATCTACTGGCTGCACCAAGTCCTTCCCGTGGGTATTCAGTGTAATCTTGATAGCAGTTTGACATCATGAGATATATCTGAGTCCCTCGTTCCTGGCACTGGGAGCATCGTGGTGAGCTCCTTCCCTTAGGGAGCCACTGCTTGGAGCTCGGTCCGGTGGAGCCACGGGGAAGGGGATGTGTCTGCATGTCTGTATGTCAGGGAGCACAGTCAGACAGCTCCAACCCCAGACAGGGCTCCATTGCCATGAGCTTCCCCCACTCTGCAGAAGGACATGGCCCGGCCACCCTGAGGCTGCTCAGCGCTGAGCCAGGAGACAAACGTAGATGCACAATCTTCCCTTATTTATAAGGACCAACAGCACTTGCACTTTATCAGAGAAATCCTCACATCCCTATGCATGCCAAGCACACCAAGAAAAGGAACAACTGCCAGCAGGAAGGAAAGGAAGGGAGGGAGGAGCAGAGCTGTGAATGTGGTGGTTTACCAGGCAGGACTCAGCATCCTGGTGCAATTTTGTAGTAAATAGAAATGAAACCATGTTTCTTTCATTCCTTACTATCGATGAGAACCAAAAAAAAACACCAAAAAAACATGACATGAAAACCTGGAGCTATACGTTCCCAGGAAGGTGGTGGAGTCTCCATCCCTGGAGATGCTCAAGAAGTACAGAGATGTGGCACTTGGGGACATGGTTTAGTGGGCATGGTAGAGGTGGGTTGGGGTTGGATTTGAGGATCTTAGAGGTCTGTTCCAACCTGAATGATTCTTTGGTTGCATGATTCCGTGTTAGTGGAGTAGACCTGTTGGGGAGACTTATTGCATGGGGGAAGAGCAAGAAGTGCAGTGTTTGCAGGCACGTTCTGATGAGCTGTGCCACGCCGTGGCCGCCCCATCCCACTGCTATCTGCTGCAGCAACAGATGACTGCTCTGCATGGATGCCTTCAGCCCTTTGCAGACAGCAGCTCTGCCGCAAGCTGGTGGTCATTGCTCCAAGTTCCACTGATGTGAGCCAGCCCAAAACTCATTCGTAATAACGGGGAGGCTCTGCAGATGCTGCTGCTGCCACCGGGTGCTCAGATGTGCTGGAACTGCTTGCCCGAGCAGCCAGGGCTGGCTGCATTGCAAGGACATGTGCACATTTGGAGAATTAGGCCTTGAGAAAGGATTTTTCTTTTGTCATTCAGCAGCTGAGCCTGCTTTCCAGCCAAACAGCAGTGGGAAGCACTGCGCCTTTCCATGGAGTGCCGGGGCCGCGCCGTGCTGTGCTGTCGGGTCGAGCTTGGTGCAAGTGAGCCGGCAGCTCGGAGGAAGAGTTGGGATGTTTGCTCTGCCATAAGCTTCCAGCCAACTTCTTTTCATTTCACTTTATGGGTTTCTTACTCCTTTAGTGGTTCTCAAGAAATATAACCCAGCTGCCAGATCCCCAGATGTGTAGCGGTGCGTTTGTGTTTCGCTGTGGCTCTGCCCCGTTGCAGGGAATGGGAACGAGGCCCTTCCCCGTGCCTCCATGGGGGCTGGGGGGGCCAGGTGCCCAGGTGGCTGCCCATATCTCAACACCCAGTTGTTTACCTTCATTCTGTCTTCCCAGCGAGAGAAATGGGCATCCCACTGCGGGTTTCATGGGAGCACCGCTGGGAAGGAGGCTCCCACAGCATTCTTGTGACTCAATTCATTTCCAGTGTGGGTAGGAATGTGGAGCAGTGACAGCGAAACAGGCGTAGCGATGACGAGAGCGCTGCAGAGATGGATTTCAGGTTACCTCTTCTCCATTGGCAGCTTGTTACAAAGGAAAGGTAATTCAGCTAAAACGGTAGTTCAATAGTAGATATTCTACACATATTATATATTTTGTAAAAAAAATAAAATAGAATAAAAATATATATGTAATAACTCAGCCCACCCATTCCAGGATGACTGCGGTTGGAATTTTTTCATTCAACCAGCTATAAAATCTGTACGTGAGTTTTTCAAAACCAGCAAGAAATCCCTTCTCCATCTCAGACATCTGTGGGTCCGCTTCGGTCTGCAGGTCTCACCCAACGCTTCTCACCCATTTTTAAGAATTATTCTCAGCATTTCTAGGGTACATTTTTAAACAGCGTCGTGAGTGGAGATATTTACTATGAGAAAAAGTATACGTTGCACAAAAATGTACACTAAGGGCACAGATTTCTGACCCAGATTCCTCTATTTTAGGTTCCGAGGGGTTTATTTTATTTTTTTTGTGTTTGATAGGACATGTACAGCGGAGTTTACAGTTTATTTTTATTTTGCCAAAAAAAGAAAAACAACAAAAAAAAAACATTTTCTAACATGAGACAGCTTTTACTTTGTAACCGGTTTTACATCACTGAATATTTCTTTTTTTTTTTATTTCCTGGGATTCTGTAACATCAGGCGTCGATGCGCGGCGGTGCATCCATGGGGACACGGCCTGGGGCACGCAGCCCAGCCCTGCTGATGTGTACAGAGGCTGCGGCTGATGGACGGACAGATGGACAGACAGGCAGACAGACAGATGGACCGGCGGACAGACAGGCAGACAAACGGACAGATAGGCGGACAGATGGGCCGATCGACAGGCAGATGGACGGACAAACAGGCAAACTGACAGGCAGACAGGCAGATGGATGGACAGATGTGGACAGGCGGACAAACAGATGGACAGACAGGTGGACAGGGAGACAGACAGGCAGACAGATGGACCGGCGGATAGACAGGCAGACAAATGGACAGATAGGCGGACAGACGGGCCAATGGACAGGCAGACGGATGGACAAACAGGCAAACTGACAGGCAGACAGGCAGACGGATGGACAGATGTGGACAGGCAGACAAACGGACAGACAGGCAGACAGGTGGACAGGGAGACAGACAGGCAGACAGGTGGACAGACAGGTGAACAGACAGGCAGACAAACAGGTGGACAGATGGACAGGCAGGCGAATGGACGGACTGACAGATGGACAGGCAGACGGACAGCTGGGCACGGCAGCCCCATGGCTCTGGGCAGCCCTGGCACTCCGTGTGCCCGGGGCTGGGCTGCCTTCGGCCGGCTGTGGTTCCACACAGGTGAATATTTTATTCCGGAGTGGTTTGGTTTTTTTTTTAATTTGTCTCTGTACTTCGAAGCTGTGTATTTGGAAGCACTGTAAATGCGACCCTATACCGATTTCCCTGTGTATATTTAGTACTCTGATGTTGCTATTAAAACTGATATGAGAACCGCGCGCCGGCTCGTGACTCGCTTCCTCTGTGCTCCCATCTGGGGTTACAGGGCAGGAGGCACCCGGAGGATCCCCAGCTCACTGTGCCAGCCCAAGACCCCCCAGCAGAGGCAGAACCCCATGGGATCATTGGGTTTCATGGGGACTCGTGGGTTCTCTCACCCCAGTGTGGGGATGGCACGGCCAGGATCCTCCAGCACCATCTGTCCTGGAAAGGGGAAGAACCCAGTGCAGCTTTGAAGCAGGGATGGCTGCTGGTTTCATCTGCTGGGGGTGGTGAACCCTTCCTGCAGCAGTGAGCTGCTCATCCCCAGCCCAGCCGAACCCTGCTCCAACGCTGTCTTGTGTGGGAAAATATATGGGAAAAGAGAGAGGGACAAAGTGAGATGCTCTTCTTTTTAGGGTCAAATTGCCATCTTAAATCACAGTGACAGTGTGTACAAGCCAACGGAATGCGAATGGCCCCGGTGCTGCGCAGATCAGTGGGGAACTCCGTCGGTTTCCAAACACACGTGGGATTTCAGGGCAATGAAATACAGCGTTGGGATCTCATTCCTTTCCCTGCTATTCATCACAGCTGGAAAAGTGCTTACCGGCCCCAGCTGCCGGAACAAAGGAGAAATATTGTGCTGACCACAATAACCCGGAGCTGGGGCCGAGGAGCAGCCCAGGAGCCACGCAGGTCTCCCATGGGCAGCGATGCCACGCAGGAGGGCTGCTCTGGGGCTTCGTGCGCTGGATCGCTGCCCACGAGGAGCAGCAAGCAGAGCTGAGTCAGCCGGCAGCAGGGTGAGACTGCAGAACAGGACGGGAAACAACACGCCATCATCACCACACGCTGATGCCGCAGCGCACAGCTCTGTTAAAAAGCAGGACTAAGCGTTATCCAAGTTTAATGATTGTAATTATACCGGGGCGAAGTAATTACTGGGGATATTTTAAGCATCAATCAACACGCTATTTTGAAGAACGGATCCCTGATTTCTCCAGGGCTAGGTGGTAAGCATCAGCTCACAACAATGCTCCTCCAGAAAGAGGAACCGACCAAGCAACTGTGTCAAGATGTGGGTGCAGGTTCTTAAGAGCAAATTCAGTCGTTTGGTTTTTTTTGGTGAAGGGGCAAAAGGACCCCAACCAAGGGGACCCAGTGGTGCCCCAATGGAGCCAGACTGCAGGCTGCAGGCTGCAAGCAGGACGTCGGCATGGCAGTAGCAGTACCCCCGCTGCAGGGCTCTGAGGTTGGCAGGGGGGATTGAGGCTGGGTCAGGGTGACAGTGGTTCCTGTGGCTCCCTGGCTGGATGTAACACACTGTCTGCATCATTGTCCTGATGGATCATTCTTAAATCACCCAGGACAGGCTTCGGGGCCTGGCACTGAAGCGATAGAAGGCACTTCAGTCCAATAAATGGTGGAAATGTGCTATGCTGAGTGCTGTTCCTTATTAAAAGTTTAGATGTGTCACACAAGCTGACTGCTCTCCCAGCCAAGACCTGCATGTTTCACACTGCTTTGAGATGCTGTGAGGTCCCTGTGGGCTCAGGGCACTGCAGCATCCTGAGGGTGGGTGGCTCTGAGCAGCCCCTGCTCCTGTGCCGTGCCCTGGAGCTGCAGCTTTGGCATTCAGAAACATCCAGGTACACCCAATAAATAACGAGTGTGGAGAGATTGGTTTATTACTGCAAGGCAATTTGTGGTAATAAGAGGTTTGGAGCAGCAAAGCCTCTCAGCGGAGAGCTGAATTATGGCAGGAAGGCATTGGGAAGGAAGAGCTTGGATCTGCAGTGTGCAGGAGGACGCAGAATGTGCTGGCAGCGCTGGGCTCCAGGGTGGGGAGGCCAGGAGGGCTGCCTCCAAAACCCCATTGCTCCCCATGGGCAGACAGGGAGAGGCTCCTTGCTGAGGGGCTGAGAAATGGAGCTGGGGAGCAGAAGCAGAGTGTGAGGGCTGCCACGGCGAGGTTAGATCTTGTCTGGGTTTTATTGGCACTGCTCTGATCCGATCCCCGGGGCTCTCAGACCTTCCTCGCTTCTGCCAGGAATGACAAGTCAATATATTTTTAATAAACTCACCTGATTGAAATCCTCGCCGTTCCCGTAGCTCTGTTCATACTCCAAGCATGATATTAACTGAGAACTCACATTTATCTTAGTTCCTTGTCAGACCCAAACGCTGCTGGGAGTTCCTGCAGGGTTGTTATTATCCTCCTCGTGCTGATGCCGAAGATGGCAGGATGTGGGCTGACAGTTGCACAAGGGAGCTGTGCAGGGCTGCAGCGGGGGTCTGGGGGTCTGGGGGAAACTGGAGGCTGCTCATCCCACCTTTACCTTCAGAGTGAGAGGCAGCTGCTCCACACTTCCCTTGGAGCCTCCTGTCCACCCTGCCATGGCTCAGGGCCTTGGGCAGACCCAGCCTGGCACTGCCTTCCCCCGCTGCTCGGAGCTCGTGGGGCTGCCAGCGTTCTGCCCTC